CCCACCTCCCCCATCACGGCCATTGTGTGACTATTCTTATCTAGAGGTTGTTATGGTGACGGGTGGGAAGGTAGTCGGGTGAGCTGGCGAGAGGGTGGAGGTGCTCACCTACTACCACCACCTGACACTGACCACCTGACACTCACCACCTGACACTGACCACCTGACACTGACCACCTGACACTGACCACCTGACACTGACCTCCTGACACTCACCACCTGACACTCACCACCTGACACTGACCTCCTGACACTCACCACCTGACACTCACCACCTGACACTGACCTCCTGACACTCACCACCTGACACTCACCACCTGACCCTCACCACCTGACCCTCACCACCTGACCCTCACCACCTGACCCTCACCACCTGACCCTCACCAGCTGACCCTCACCACCTGACCCTCACCACCTGACCCTCACCACCTGACCCTCACCACCTGACCCTCACCACCTGACCCTCACCACCTGACCCTCACCACCTGACCCTCACCACCTGACCCTCACCACCTGACACTGACCTCCTGACACTCACCACCTGACACTGACCTCCTGACACTCACCACCTGACACTCACCACCTGACACTCACCACCTGACACTCACCACCTGACACTCACCTCCTGACACTGATCACCTGACACTGACCTCCTGACACTCACCACCTGACACTCACCACCTGACACTCACTCACCACCTGACACTGACCACTGACCTCCTGACACTCACCACCTGACACTCACCACCTGACACTGACCTCCTGACACTCACCACCTGACACTCACCACCTGACACTCACCACCTGACACTCACCACCTGACACTCACCACCTGACACTCACCTCCTGACACTCACCACCTGACACTCACCACCTGACACTCACCACCTGACACTCACCACCTGACACTCACCACCTGACACTGACCTCCTGACACTCACCACCTGACACTCACCACCTGACACTCACCACCTGACACTCACCACCTGACACTCACCACCTGACACTCACCACCTGACACTGACCTCCTGACACTCACCACCTGACACTCACCACCTGACACTCACCACCTGACACTGACCTCCTGACACTCACCACCTGACACTCACCACCTGACACTCACCACCTGACACTGACCTCCTGACACTCACCACCTGACACTCACCACCTGACACTGACCTCCTGACACTCACCACCTGACACTCACCACCTGACACTCACCACCTGACACTCACCACCTGACACTGACCTCCTGACACTCACCACCTGACACTCACCACCTGACACTCACCACCTGACACTCACCACCTGACACTCACCACCTGACACTGACCTCCTGACACTCACCACCTGACACTCACCACCTGACACTCACCACCTGACACTCACCACCTGACACTCACCACCTGACACTCACCACATGACACTGACCTCCTGACACTCACCACCTGACACTCACCACCTGACACTGACCTCCTGACACTCACCACCTGACACTGACCTCCTGACACTCACCACCTGACACTCACCTCCTGACACTCACCACCTGACACTGACCTCCTGACACTCACCACCTGACACTGACCTCCTGACACTCACCACCTGACACTCACCACCTGACACTCACCACCTGACACTCACCACCTGACACTCACCACCTGACACTCACCACCTGACACTCACCACGACCTAACAAATTCACAAAGACCTGAAAGTTGTAGCATTAAATATTATGATAGATATCGTGAGGAGACATTCACATATGGGACTAATAGAACAAGAACCCGGCAATGTGATGTTATAGTGGCCAGAATACGCCTGGGATATAGACGTAACTGGCAACTTTCTCAAAACCCAAACGTCGAGTACACAATGTGTCAACTTTGTGAAAGAGAAAACATGCACTCTCTTGAACATTATATTGTAGAATGTCCCATATTGACTGACTTTCGCCCTCCTGGGCTGAGGTATGCTGAACTCTGTAGTTACTATATGAGTACTGGAACACTTGATGATATATTGGACTTGTACCCAAGATTGACCATGTAATGTATCAATTATACAATGTATGTATGTGATGTAACTATATAACCTGAACTTGTAGAAGCACCTTAATCACCTTCAGTGATTAAGTGCTTAATTGCACACTAGTTTCTTTATCAGCTACCTCACCCTGTCACAGTAAAAGAGACAAATATATGTGAATGCATGTGTGTGTATATATATGTATGTATATGAACGTATATGTGTGTGTGTGTATGTATATGTATGTGCACAAAGTATATATGGAAGCTGATCAGAATTACATTTCACCTTCGTGAATGCACATTAATGACACTATGTAAAAGACACATCTAACACTTTATGTAGGGCATACGTAAATCTGTGTATCTAAGTATTTACGTATGTAGGTTAGCTTAGCATTTTAAAAGCACCGAATCACCTTCTGTGGTTGATTGTTCAATAAACCCTTGAACTACATGTTTAACACATCTCTAACCCTGTCCATGGAGGACAGAAGAAAATGTATATATGTTGGTTAGCATTGTAAATGTGTGGCCACATCTGTGGTAGAAAAAAAAACTGACCACCGGGGAGTGAGCTCTTATAGGCCTTCCCCAGTCGACCATCCTTCTTGTACCTTTTATGCTACTGTTGAACTTTTCTGACGTTCCAATACTTTGTGGCCTTACAGTTGTGGAAGGAGATGGCTTCTACAGCTTCCCTCAGTGCATCCTACCTGTTGACCCCCCGTACAGGTAGTACGGGGATTAACTCGCACTTTGGGCGGGACGGTAGAGCGACGGTCTCGCTTCACGTGGGTCGGCGTTCAATCCCAGACCGTCCAAGTGGTTGGACACCATTCCTTTCCCCCGTCCCATCCCAAATCCTTATCCTGACCCCTTCCCAGAGCTATATGGTCGTAATGGCTTAGTGCTTCTCCTGATAGTTCGCACCCCCTCCATCATTATTGATTTCTGATGAGCATAATTTGTCTTTATATATCAGCCATGAGTGTGGGTGGGGGTGGGGGTGGCTGGGGTGGGAGGGTGTGGGGGTTAGTGTGGAGGTGGGTGGTGGTGTTGGTGGGTGTGTTGGTGGGTGTGTTGGTGGGTGGTGTTGGTGGGTGTGGGTGTTAGTGTGGAGGTGGGTGGTGGTGTTGGTGGGTGGTGTTGGTGGGTGTGGGTGTTAGTGTGGGGGTGGGTGGTGTTGGTGGGCGTGGGGGTGGGGATTGAATGTGTGTAGTTGTACTCACCTAGTTGAGCTCGCAGGGTCGACCATCTGCTCTTGGCCCCCATACACCACCAACATTAGTTCAACGAAGTGACCTTTTCAGTTTGTCTTATCATATTTACATATTAAAGCTGTGTATCGAAATGGCTTTGACAACTTCCTCATTTAATCCGACCCAGCAATTTACAAGTCCAACTGAACAAGTTCCATCTGACATCCTTGCGTCTCATTTGTCTCCAGTTTGCACTTAAGTCCTCTCGTTGTACTCTTCCTTAAATTGAACTTTGATTCTATACATACTTTATCAATCACCTTTATTATCTTGTATGTCGTTATCACGTCTGCCCTATTCCTTCTTTCCTCCACTGTAGTTGACGCTCAGTTCCCTCAATCTTTCTTGATAACTCTGTCCCTTAGCTCAGGGACGAACCTTGCTGCATATGTTTGTACATTTTCTAGTTTTATTTTGTGCTTCTTTACGTAGGGGTTCCACGCCGGGGCAGCATACTCAACAACACGGCTCACAAAGGATGTATACAGGGCTCGGAAGGGCTCGTTATCCAGGTTGGTGAAGGATAACCGGGCGTTCGCCAGTATGGCATATGCTGCCCTCGTTATCCTGCTGGTGTCTGCCTCTGATGTTAGGTCTCCAGTTATGTCCACTCCTGAGTCTTTGTCTTCTGGAAGTTGCCTGCCCTTCATCCTGTACTGTAGTTGAGATCTTCTTGCTCTGTCTCGTATCTTCATAACCCTGCACTTATTAAGTTGAAGTCTAGTAGCCATTTCCCAGACCATCTCTGGATTTTGTCTACTTCATCTTGTAATGTATTGCTGTCATCAGTTCTGATTCACCTCATTAGTTTAGCATCGTCAACAAACATGGGTAAGAATGACCTTAATTCCTCAGTTATATCAATTACATATATTAGCAAGAGGATGTGCCCTAGTATCACCAGCCCTTGTGGTACTCCACTCGTTACCTCTCTCCATACTGACTACTCTCCTCTTACTGTGGCTACTTTCTTCCTGGCAGGTACTCCTTCGCCCACTCCCGACACACCAGCATGTTTTACGAGTTTGCACAAGGAGTCGCTTGTGAGAAACATTGTCAAAAGCTATCTGGCTCATCGTCAAAAGCTATCTGGCTCATTGCCAAAAGCTATCTGGCAATCCAGGAAAATGCAGTCGGCTCAACCCTCTTTATTCTGTCTGATTGTTGTCATCTTGCCATAGAACTCTTAATAAGTTGGTCAAGCAAGATTTTCCTTCGCCGAATCCCTGTTAATGCATGGAAACAAAATGTATATGTTCTAAATGATCGCTGAGCCTTCCTTTGATTAGTGTCTCCAATATCTAACACGGAATACTTGTCATTGACACGGCTCTGTAGTTCAGTGGCTCCTGTCCTCCTCCTTCCTTGTATATAGATACCACATGTGTGCCACTTTCCACATGTAAGGAGGTTATCCCCATATCTAGTGAAGAGTTGAAGACTCAACATTGCAAGGGATCCACACAATGTTGCAGCTGCCTCTCTTAGTACCCACGGTGAGATCTTGCCAGTGCCTGAGGCTTTTCCCAGCTCCTCTAATTATCTCTCTACTTCCTGTGTTGTTAGTTGTCTTCTGTTAGCCTGGGGGGGGGGGGGTTGACGGTGGTTGTAGGTCTGGGGAACAGACAGTTCTGGTTCAATGTTAAAACTTCCGGGAGACTTTTATTGAGTTCTTCGCACATTTCTTTATCGTTCTTTGTGTAGCTGAGAAGATATGAGTGACCACAGCGAGACGAGTGACCACAGTGACACGAGTGACCAAAGCGAGACGAGTGACAACAGTGACACGAGTGACCACAGTGAGACGAGTGACCACAGCGAGACGAGTGACCACAGTGAGATGAGTGACCACAGTGACACGAGTGACCACAGTGAGACGAGTGACCACAGCGAGACGAGTGACCACAGTGACACGAGTGACCACAGTGACACGAGTGACCACAGCGAGACGAGTGACCACAGTGACACGAGTGACCACAGTGAGACGAGTGACCACAGTGACACGAGTGACCACAGTGAGATGAGTGACCACAGCGAGACGAGTGACCACAGTGACACGAGTGACCACAGCGAGACGAGTGACCAGAGTGACACGAGTGACCACAGTGAGACGAGTGACCACAGTGACACGAGTGACCACAGTGACACGAGTGACCACAGTGACACGAGTGACCACAGTGAGACGAGTGACCACAGTGACACGAGTGACCACAGTGAGATGAGTGACCACAGCGAGACGAGTGACCACAGTGAGACGAGTGACCACAGTGACACGAGTGACCACAGTGACACGAGTGACTACAGTGACACGAGTGGCCACAGTGAGACGAGTGACCACAGTGACACGAGTGACCACAGTGAGATGAGTGACCACAGCGAGACGAGTGACCACAGTGACACGAGTGACCACAGCGAGACGAGTGACCACAGTGACACGAGTGACCACAGTGAGACGAGTGACCACAGTGACACGAGTGACCACAGTGACACGAGTGACCACAGTGACACGAGTGACCACAGTGAGACGAGTGACCACAGTGACACGAGTGACCACAGTGAGATGAGTGACCACAGCGAGACGAGTGACCACAGTGAGACGAGTGACCACAGTGACACGAGTGACCACAGTGACACGAGTGACTACAGTGACACGAGTGGCCACAGTGAGACGAGTGACCACAGTGACACGAGTGACCACAGTGAGATGAGTGACCACAGCGAGACGAGTGACCACAGTGACACGAGTGACCACAGCGAGACGAGTGACCACAGTGACACGAGTGACCACAGTGAGACGAGTGACCACAGTGACACGAGTGACCACAGTGACACGAGTGACCACAGTGACACGAGTGACCACAGTGAGACGAGTGACCACAGTGACACGAGTGACCACAGTGAGATGAGTGACCACAGCGAGACGAGTGACCACAGTGACACGAGTGACCACAGTGACACGAGTGACTACAGTGACACGAGTGACTACAGTGACACGAGTGACCACAGTGACACGAGTGACCACAGCGACACGAGTGACCACAGTGAGACGAGTGACCACAGTGAGACGAGTGACCACAGTGCGACGAGTGACAACAGTGAGACGAGTGACCACAGTGACACGAGTGACCACAGTGAGACGAGTGACCACAGTGACACGAGTGACAACAGTGACACGAGTGACCACAGTGAGACGAGTGACCACAGTGAGACGAGTGACCACAGTGAGACGAGTGACCACAGTGACACGAGTGACCACAGTGAGACGAGTGACAACAGTGAGACGAGTGACCACAGTGACACGAGTGACCACAGTGAGACGAGTGACAACAGTGAGACGAGTGACCACTTTGAGACGAGTGACCACAGTGACACGAGTGACAACAGTGACACGAGTGACAACAGTGACACGAGTGACCACAGTGAGACGAGTGACCACAGTGACACGAGTGACCACAGTGAGACGAGTGACCACAGTGACACGAGTGACCACAGTGAGACGAGTGACCACAGTGAGACGAGTGACCACAGTGAGACGAGTGACCACAGTGAGACGAGTGACCACAGTGACACGAGTGACCACAGTGAGACGAGTGACAACAGTGAGACGAGTGACCACAGTGACACGAGTGACCACAGTGAGACGAGTGACAACAGTGAGACGAGTGACCACAGTGACACGAGTGACCACAGTGACACGAGTGACCACAGTGACACGAGTGACCACATTGACACGAGTGACCACAGTGACACGAGTGACCACAGTGACACGAGTGACCACAGTGAGACGAGTGACCACAGTGACACGAGTGACCACAGTGACACGAGTGACCACAGTGAGACGAGTGACCACAGTGAGACGAGTGACCACAGTGACACGAGTGACCACAGTGAGACGAGTGACCACAGTGAGACGAGTGACCACAGTGAGACGAGTGACCACAGTGAGACGAGTGACCACAGTGAGTCAAGAAGGTATGTCACCACCCCACCACCCCCCCACGTCACCCTGGAGACAGCTTCAAGAGCTTTCCTGTCTCCCGAGATTCTTATAAAATGTGGTTAATCTTGGCTATACCATTTCTCTGGCTTTCATGCCTCGCGGCCATATTTTTTCTCGCTACCATTTATGGCACCATTCATTGCCACCATTCAACCCCCCCCCCCCCCATCCCTCCCATTAGGCACACATAATTCAGTAAGTTACCATCTACGAGGCCACGGTTCCAGAGGTCAAGACACGTTCTTACGCCCGGAATTCTGACCTTTATGACCAGTAAGGATGACAGTGTTGTACACACAGGTGTTCCAGCGGACTCAATACGTGGTTCAACATGCTCTTGTAATGTTCCGACTCCAGACGTGCTTTCAGTACCTCTACGGTATCTAAAAGTGGAGTTATGAACGTGTTCGACTGATCCTGAACCTGCTCGACTGATCCTGAACCTGCTCGACTGATCCTGAACCTGCTCGACTGATCCTGAACCTGCTCGACTGATCCTGAACCTGCTCGACTGATCCTGAACCTGCTCGATAGATACTGACTTCCGAAAAGAAATATTGTTGACATAGTTACACTGAAGAGTAATAACTGGCTGGTCAGGGTTGCAACGTGCTTATCTAAACGAGATTTGGGGGTTCCGTCCCTGATCCGATTGTGTGCCTATTTAACCCTTTTCCACTACCGCCCACAGGATGGGTATACAGGTGCAGCACGGCTCACAGGATGGGTATACGGGTGCAGCACGGCTCACAGGATGGGTATACAGGTGCAGCACGGCTCACAGGATGGGTATACGGGTGCAGCACGGCTCACAGGATGGGTATACGGGTGCAGCACGGCTCACAGGATGGGTATACGGGTGCAGCACGGCTCACAGGATGGGTATACGGGTGCAGCACGGCTCACAGGATGGGTATATGGATGCAGCACGGCTCACAGGATGGGTATACGGGTGCAGCACGGCTCACAGGATGGGTATACGGGTGCAGCACGGCTCACAGGATGGGTATATGGGTGCAGCACGGCTCACAGGATGGGTATATGGGTGCAGCACGGCTCACAGGATGGGTATACGGGTGCAGCACGGCTCACAGGATGGGTATATAGGGTTCATAATAAATGAACTCAACTAAAGGTTTCCAACGCTTATTTTTTTATGTCTTTAATTCAACACACACACACACACACACACACACACACACACACACACACACACACACACACACACACACACACACACACACACACACACACACACACACACACACACACACACACACACACACACACACACACACACACACACACACACACACACACACACACACACACACACACACACACACACACACACACACACACACACACACACACACACACACACACACACACACACACACACACACACACACACACACACACACACACACACACACACACACACGTGTCCCCATCTTCAGCAGCCAGTCTTTGACAACCCCCCTCCCCCCACGAGAGAGAGTGTGTTATTTTGTCTCTCTCTCTCCGGCCCAATATGTGTTCCCAGGTGATGTGTTAGTGTGGTGCCGTGGTTGATGTTTTCGTCAACATCAGCTTAGTCAATGTGAAGTTTGTGCAACCACTATGCGGAGGAGTGACACAGGCACTCACTCGCTGTCTGGGTTCGAATCCTTCTGGGGGTATATAGGGAAATATATATTCATTTCCATTCCTTTTTTTCCACCATTCCTTTTTCTAGATGTAACAGTCATGGAAAGGAATGGTGGCTTCCACACTGCAGTCTACACTAAGGAAACAAACATAGGAATGTGCCTTAATGCCAATAGTGACTGCCCAGACAGGTACAAGAGGAGTGTTGTCAACGCTTACGTCGACCGTGCTCTCAGCCACAGCTCAGGATGGAAGCAAGTCGATGAAGAACTCTGCAGGGTAAGGCAGGTCCTAGTCAACAACAGCTTCTCCAACGGATATGTTGAAGACATCATAAAAAAGAAAAGTGAAACGCCATGCAACCTCTGAAGAGTCAACTAGCACAACACTTGTACCCTATTAAACTGTTTTACAGAAACTTCTTTTCGACTGCTCATAAAATGGAGGAAAGGGTCCTGAAAGATATTGTTGATAGGAATGTTATCCCCACAGACAAAAATCAGAAGATACAACTGACAATTTATTACAAAAATACAAAAACAAGAAAACGGCCAACCTACTCATGAAGAACTCCCCAGACACCAAACAGAACGCCTTGAAAGAAACCAACGTTGTCTATTCCTTCACATGCCCACTTGGGGACAGTCAGCCCCAAAGATCTCAGTATATAGGCAAGACGACGACGTCTCTTTCTTTGTGATTAACAATGCACAAACAACAGGGTTCCACCAAGGAACATATAATACATTTAAACACATTTTAAATACATTTAATTTTTAAATTTAAACATTTAAACAGTCTCCGTGGTGTAGTGGTAAGACACTCGCCTGGCGTTCCGCGAGCGCTTTGTCATGGGTTCGTATCCTGGCCGGGGAGGATTTACTGGGCGCAAATCCTTAACTGTAGCCTCTGTTTAACGCAACAGTAAAATGTGTACTTGGTTGTAACAACGATTCTTCGCGGCGGGGATCGTATTCCAGGGACCTGCCCGAAACGCTACGCGTACTAGTGGCTGTACAAGAATGTAACAACTCTTGTATATATCTCAAAAAAAAAAATAATAATAATCTCCTCATACAACCAGACCATCTCCAGAGAAATCGTAACAAGGAACACAGAAATCATCGATAAATATAGCGATAGCAGGAGACTCGACATCAGCGAGGCACTACACATCAAAAAGTCAACACCAGCAATCAACAGCCAATAAACACATAGTTACATTCTTCCCACTTCAAGACCCCGAACCAACACAGAAGCAAGAAGAGAAAATACGCAATAATTCGTGATCTGACTATATAAAATTATCTTTACCCAATGATTCATTGGTTTGTGTTCTATCACCTCACCCAAAAACATTTATGTCATATCACCTCATCCAAAAACAAATATAAGCAACAGTCAGTCTGTCAGTCAGTCTTATCAGTCTGGTGTTGACAAAGGCTTTCATCGGCGGAAACGTTCATCTTCCTTTCCCACTTCTCTGTGGTTTTTCTGTATACAAATGATCAGTGTTTCGTGATCATCAATTACATATATATAATTAATTTTAATTAGTATTTCAGAAAATATTGTTTTCATTAAATATTACATAAAGGAGCCTGAGCCTGAGGACGGGTGGTGTTGGGTGATGGTGGGTGACCATAACCTGAGGACGGGTGGTGATGGGTGATGGTGGGTGACCATAACCTGAGGACGGGTGAAGAACATCACCTGAAGAACAAGTGACTGGAGCAGCCCAGCAAAGAATACATGACGGTGGGCGAGCAATATAGCCAGGAGAACAAATGGACAGTGGACAAAGATAATCCTTGAATGGATTTCCAGAGATAGACCAAGAATAAGGCCATCCACTAGATGAGGATGATAATTGAACACAATCCCACACACGCATACACGCACACGCACGCACGCACGCACACACGCACACACACACACACACACACACACACACACACACACACACACACACACACACACACACACACACACACACACACACACACACACACACACACACACAGGCACACGCACACACACACACACACAGGCACACGCACACACACACAAACACACACACACACTCACACAAACATAGGGCCCCTGGTGGCTAAGTGGACAGCACGCTGGATATGTAGTCCAGTGGACAGGGGATCGATTCCCTAGTCCTGGGGAAACACTGCATTCGTTATGATTCCTGAGAGTTTTGTTTCTGTGAGTCCGATTACATCTGGGTTCTGTGTGTGTGTGTGTATTCACCTAGTTGTGCTTGCGGGGGTTGAGCTTTGCTCTTTGCCCGCCTCTCAACTGTCAATCAACTGACAATGAGTGTGTGCGTGTGTGTGTGTGTGTACGTACTCACCTATTTGTGCTTGCAGGATAGAGCATTGACTCATGGATCCGGCGTTTCTAGCCATCGGTTGTTTTCAGCAATGACTCCTGTCCGATTTCCGTATCATATCTAGTTTTGAAATTATGAATACAGTTTGCTTCCACAACCTGTTCCTTAAGTGCATTCCATTTTCCCACTACTCTCACGCTAAAAGAATACTTTCTAACATCTCTGTGACTCATCTGAGTTTCCAGCTTCCACCCATGTCCCCTCGTTCTGTTACTATTCCGTGTGAACAGTTCATCTATTTCCACTTTGTCAATTCCCCTGAGTATTTTATATGTTCCTATCATATCCCCTCTCTCCCTTCTTTTTTCTAACTGTCATAAGGTTCAGTTCTTTCAGGCGCTCTTCATATCCCATCCCTCGTAACTCTGGGACAAGCCTCGTTGCAAACTTCTGAACCTTTTCCAGTTTCCTTAAGTTTTTCTTCAGGTGGGGGCTCCATGATGGCGCGGCATACTCTAAGACTGGCCTCACATAGGCAGTGTAAAGTACCCTAAAAGCCTCCTCACTTATGTTTCTGAATGAAGTTCTAACTTTCGCCAGTGTAGAGTACGCTGCTGTCGTTATCCTATTTACATGCGCCTCAGGAATTAGGTTAGGTGTTACGTCCACTCCCAGGTCTCTTTCTCGAATCGTTACAGGTAGGCAGTTCCCCTTCATTGTGTACTGTCCCTTATAGGCCAATAGGCCCTTTGCAGTTACTTCCATTCTTCCCTTTCACTTATCCAATTTATACTCCTTGAACCGTGTTCTGTCTTGTGTTGGTCAAAAGTTTGTTCACCTCATCCAAAACTGTTTCAACATATCATCTCACCCAAATGCGAGTATAAGACAAGATGTTTAGCGTTAGAATTAGTAAAACTCTGTTAAGTGTTTTCAGGTTACAAGTTGTGTGTGTAAACTAAAGTCTTTGAAAATGTAATACGTTATTATGAAACGCGCTCAAGCGTCGCATCAGACTAGAAATAAAAATGAATTTTGGAGAATTGATTTTTCAATTACCATCGACAGTAAAAAGAAACATGAGAAATATTGAGAAAATTCGCGTTAGAATTATTAATCTTACTTTTTCGGTCCTATTTAATATATATATATATATATATATATATATATATATATATATATATATATGCGAACAAGCCTGAATGGTCCCCAGGACATATGCAACTGAAAACTCACACCCCAGAAGTGACTCGAACCCATACTCCCAGAAGCAACGCAACTGGTATGTACAAGACGCCTTAATCCACTTGACCATCACGACCGGACATAATGAGGTGATAGCCGAGGCTATATGAACCACCCCACCGCCGGCACTCGGATAGTTATCTTGGGCATAGCATTTTACCAAATCACCTCATTCTTTGGGGCACACGTGAGGAACACAAATGCGAACAAGCCTGAATGGTCCCCAGGACATATGCAACTGAAAACTCACACCCCAGAAGTGACTCGAACCCATACTCCCAGAAGCAACGCAACTGGTATGTACAAGACGCCTTAATCCACTTGACCATCACGACCGGACATAATGAGGTGATAGCCGAGGCTATATGAACCACCCCACCGCCGGCACTCGGATAGTTATCTTGGGCATAGCATTTTACCAAATCACCTCATTCTTTGGGGCACACGTGAGGAACACAAATGCGAACAAGCCTGAATGGTCCCCAGGACATATGCAACTGAAAACTCACACCCCAGAAGTGACTCGAACCCATACTCCCAGAAGCAACGCAACTGGTATGTACAAGACGCCTTAATCCACTTGACCATCACGACCGGACATAATGAGGTGATAGCCGAGGCTATATGAACCACCCCACCGCCGGCACTCGGATAGTTATCTTGGGCATAGCATTTTACCAAATCACCTCATTCTTTGGGGCACACGTGAGGAACACAAATGCGAACAAGCCTGAATGGTCCCCAGGACATATGCAACTGAAAACTCACACCCCAGAAGTGACTCGAACCCATACTCCCAGAAGCAACGCAACTGGTATGTACAAGACGCCTTAATCCACTTGACCATCACGACCGGATGTCCGGTCGTGATGGTCAAGTGGATTAAGGCGTCTTGTACATACCAGTTGCGTTGCTTCTGGGAGTATGGGTTCGAGTCACTTCTGGGGTGTGAGTTTTCAGTTATATATATATATATATATATATGTATATATATATATATAATGTTGTACCTAGTAGCCAGAACGCAGTACTCGGCCTACTTGTTATAACCTCACCCCCAGATATCCGGCCACTGCGGGGTTATGGGTTGTGTTTGGTTAACACACTACGATGCCTGGTGACTGACACAGTCGCCTTGGACTACATGAAGGATTACATAGTTCGTGTCTGGAGCTACCCATGGCACACTAACTTGTCGCTCTAACTCTACGGACGGTCGTCGTCATACAGAGCCTCGTCATATGGTCTCAGTAACGTGCACTGGCAAACGTTGGGTGGATTATGAGGATATCCTCAAGAACACGGCAGTGGATAAAGTAATTGCAAAGTTCCAGGTATCTCATTCTGGCTGGCGTAAAGGATCTGGCTCCTGATCTTTAACAGTATATTACTGAATGTGGAGTCATGTAAAGGCCGCCCACGCGCTCACCCTTGACACACACACACACACACACGAGTCTACGGAGAATAACACCCACGCTTTTCCTTTCATATTGATCTGGTGGCACTGGCACCTTGTACGCTGCAGGGCTTCTGACACTTGTTACTACCCCAGCGGGTTGTACATGTCGCTGTCTGGAGATACCTACAGAGGGTTCCTGGAGTTCCTAACCCCCCAAGCCCGGCCTGAGGCCAGGCTCGACTTGTGATAACTTGGTCCAACAGGCTGTTGTTGCTTGGTGTGGCTCGCAGGCCCACATATCCAGTACAACCCCGGTTGGTCCAGTACTTCGTGCAAGAACTTACCTAATTGCTTCTTGAAAAAGTCCACCTTTGTTCCGGCAATATTTCATATGTTTGCTTGGAGAGTATTGAACAACCGTGGACCTCTGATGTTCATACAGTGGTCTCTGATCATACCTATGGCACCTCTACTCCTCGCTGGAACTATTCTGCAAGTTTCTTCAGTATCTTTCCTCCAGTATGTTTTTTACTATGCAAATTTGGGACCTGGCCGTCCAGAATCTTCCAGGTATATGTTATTTAATACTTTCTCGTCTCATTTCCAGAGGGTACTTTTTGAGAGCACTGAGACGGTCCCAATAATTTAGGAGCTTTATTTTATCTATGCGTGCCGTATATATTCTCTGTACTCCCTCTATTTCAGATACCTCCTCCTCCTCTGAAAGGGGAAGTGGGTACCGAGCAGTACTCAAGACGGGACAGCACCAGTGATTTAAATAGTATTAGCATTGCTGTGGGGTCTCTGGGTTTGAACGTTCTCATAATCTATCCCGTCATTTTCCTGGCCGCCGCTATATTTGCTCGGTTATGTTCACTAAATGTCAGGTCGTCAGACATCATAATTCCCAGATCTTTTACATGTTGTTTTCTTTCTGTGGGAAGGTCTGATTGTGTCACTCTGTCTCTGGTATTCATACTTGATGCCTGCTGTGTGGAATACCTTAACTAATATTTTGTTGAGACACTACAAGAACATCAATCTGTCAAACGTCAACCTAAAATATGTTAACCTGTCAAACGTCATCCTGAAAAATGTCAATCTCTCAAACGTTTCCCCGTCAAACGAATGTCTTCGACAGCGAATGTCTTCGACAGTGAATGTCTTCGACAGCGAATGTCTTCGACAGCGAATGTCTTCGAAAGTGAATGTCTTCGACAGCGAATGTCTTCGACAGCGAATGTCTTCGACAGGCACTTTCAAAACTTTGAATAACTGTTGCCTGAAGCAACACACAGGTCCATCATGACCTGATGGACCTGTGTGTTGCCAGGAGTTATTACTTGATGAATCTGGAGGACAGCTCCAAGAAACACCCTCACTGAGGTGCTTCATATCCTTATCAGCTCCCAACACCACCGCTCGCCAGGCACACAGCCGCTCGCCAGGCCTTGGGGACCTGGCCTGGGGTGTAAGTGGAGCGCCTAATCTCCCTCACCTCTCACTCTCTCAAACAGTGTCTTGAACCACTGAGTGATTATCCGTAGTAGGAGCTTTATGATGGTGTATTCCGCTCTTGGAGTAAGAAGTAAGAAGATTAAGGTCCTCGCGGCCCGTTCTGTGACCAAACCTCCTGGCTGCTGGACTGGTCAACTAGGCTGTTGGACGCGGCTGCTCGCAGCCTGACGTATGAATTACAGCCTGGTTGATGAGATATCGTTTGGAGGTGTTTATCCAGTTCTCTCTTGAACACTGTGAGGGGTCGGTCAGTTATGCCCCTTATGTGTAGTGGAAGTGTATTGAACAGTCTCGGGCCTCTGATGTTCATTGAATTCTGTCTCAGAGTACCTATTACACCTCTGTTTTTCAACGGGGATATTCTGCTCATCCTGCCATGTCTTCTGGTCTTTTTGCAGACCGATAGATCTGCTCTGTTAGGTTGGGACAGCTTAGAGCTGCCTCAAGTTTCTTGTAGCTTGGACAGCTCTATGAAACACCTCACTTAGAGCAGTTCTAAGAACTCCTCTACTTGCAGGGAGACCCAAAATGATCAGCTGCAGAGTGATACTGTCCCATGTAAGGATCTCAGGCAAGATAACAGTACATGTCCCAGATAACAGCTGGACGGTGATGAAGTTGAAAGTGAGTCGGCAACATTTCACCTTCGAGGCAGAACTACAAAAAAAAAGCATCTTGGTTATCGGAGCTCAGTGAGTATAAAAGAATCAGGTTTTAAACAGCATGGAAAATGTGTGTCAGAGAAACGCTTGTTTAAGACCTAGACTTCCGTAAAGAAGATTTTGATATACATAATTATTATAACAAGTCTATAAACATTATTATTGAAGCCTAGGGACATAGCATTTCAAATAAATTAATAATGTATTCCAATAAAGGCTGTAAATGGATAACCACGTGACTATACAGAACTTTAGTAGAAAAAAGGCGATTGGCAAACGAATAAACATTGGAGCGATTATTTATAATAATGGTTTATTTAACGAGGAAGAACCGTTAAAAAAGGAGCTAAAAATTAAGCATAAATTATGACCGAGTATAGCAAGGAAGGCAAGAGAAAATCTTAAAGAATTGTTCATATATATGAAGGGAAGATAAGAGAGAAGACTGGGCCATTGAAAATACAGACGGGTCCTGTACCTGACAGTGACGAAGACTGGGTCACATTCTAAGTCAACCCTTCGTCTCGGTATTCTCTACACAAGAACTTGATAGTTTCCCTTCAGTATAAATCATTGTATGTGGTGAAGGGACACCACATACAATTATTTCAACTAGTTGATAATTATTAAGTAAATTACATAATTAAAATGCAACAAGTCATCAGTGCTAGAGGAAGTATTTCCTAGTATACACACCGGGACGTGCACCACGTTGCTCGGTGTGTATATATACACACCGATTGATTTTGATTATTGCCGCCGGAGGCTGCTAGTTTATTGTGCACCCCATACTCATCCTGTGAGCGGTAGCGCAAAAAAGAATTACAGAGGGCACAAAAGGTCCTTATCAGCCCACAACGGAGATAATTATATAAACAATTTCATCTATCCTTCACACCATATAATTACAATGTCAGTTAGTTACAGAGAATGTTCTATTTCAAGAGCTGTATATTTACAGTAAGTCATTATACATTAATGGCGGGTCTTATCGCTAATACATAATTGTTTGAGCAATGGAGATATTACAGTCATAGGAGAGCTGCTGTTTGTTATTAGTCTTCACAATACACTACTTGTTTCTTCATCTCATATGTCGTTTATCTACTAGAAGCGAAATATGGATACAGTGCAAGGATTTCAGATATTTTATCCTTAGTAATAAGATAGGTTGCCATATCATACAGCGTGAGTTTAGATTTATCTCTAAATGGCTAAATTTTACTACAATCCAAGATTTAGTGTTCGAGTGTGTGTCCCTGTCTTTGTCCACACACTTTACACTTTACTTCAACTAGATCCCTATACAAGCCGAACTGCCAGATACTTGTAGCCAAGTCTTATACGAGCTGTGACAACATCTGTTAGTCTACTGACTTTATTACTTGCCCCATACACATGTTTTACTTCACACATTTCATTGTGATGAACAATGGACCTGCTAGTTCCAGTTTGCACAGTTCTACTTTCTTCAAATTCATCCAGGAGTTCTGGTCTAATGATACTCGTAAATTAAGATAAAGTTTACTTTTATCCTGGATTATGTTCAAGACTAAAGTGGACTTGCTGGTTGGTCAGTAAGTTACTGTGAGGGCGCTGATATCTTGAGGTTACCTTGAGGTGTTCTCGGGGCTCAGCGTCCCCGCGGCCCGGTCGTCGACCAGGCCTCCTTCAACGCTTGATGGGTCACGAGCCCAACATATACCAAACTAAGAAATGTCTTTGATACTAAGTAAACCATTATAGTTTAAGCAGGATACGAATGTGGCGACGACATTTAAGAAGGAAGCTGACTCATCAACCCATCCATGTGACATGTCAACCCATCCATGTGACATGTCAACCCGTCCATGTGACATGTCAACCCGTCCATGTGACATGTCAACCCATCCATGTGACATGTCAACCCATCCATGTGACATGTCAACCCGTCCATGTGACATGTCAACCCATCCATGTGACATGTCAACCCGTCCATGTGACATGTCAACCCGTCCATGTGACATGTCAACCCATCCATGTGACATGTCAACCCATCCATGTGACATGTCAACCCGTCCATGTGACATGTCAACCCATCCATGTGACGTCAACCCATCCGTGTGACATGTCAACCCATCCATGTGACATGTCAACCCATCCATGTGACATGTCAACCCATCCATGTGACATGTCAACCCATCCATGTGACATGTCAACCCATCCATGTGACATGTCAACCCATCCATGTGACATGAGTGATGACATTGCGCTCCTTCGTGGTCCACTTCATCAAGTGGTCACCTTCATGTCATATGTATGGGATGATTACCTCTCTCACCGAGGACCGGGCCGCGGGGACACGAAAGCCCCGAAATCATCTCAAGATAACCATCTCAAGATACCTCACCCAAGTGATTGTGACGAATCATCTACAATACGGCCAGATATATATCACTGTAATGAGTCTATTGGCCAAGTAGCTTGGCATATATTGTGTAAAATATATGCCAAAATATATATTGTGTAAAAATTGCTTGAATGGATGGCCACATGTGACAGTTGTTCACATCTGGAAGAACTCAGGTTAATAAAGGCCTCACGCACAGCGAGGCTTTACAAAGGGCTAACTCATGTTTATCAAATTTGCTCTCAATCTGTTTCAATGTGTTTAAAACATTCAGTAATGGAAAAGATTCCTTTATAACCCCATCAGGGAAAGGACTTACAAGGAAGAAAGAGACACATGGAGTGGGTTACCGGGATGAGAGAGTGGTTACTCCATAGAGATAACACAACAACGGCCTTAATAGAGCCTAGTTCCTGAGGCCTTTACTCGGTTTACTTTATTTTCATTTTATTAATCATCAGTGAGTATAGAAGAGTAAAAGTTAAAATCTGTTACGAGATTTGTAAAGTGTATTACGGGGAGAATATTTGTTAGCGTTACTGAGGTGGCAGCCTAGCCTAGCCTCGCCCGCACCCTCTCATGGAGTAGCCTACACCACCACAACAATGGTTCGCCTCCACCTCATCGCTACTTTGTAAAAATAAGAAAGCTCAATAAACTACCCCTCACAGGATGAGTATGTGGTGAACAATAAACTACCCCTCACAGGATGAGTATGTGGTGAACAATAAACTACCGCTCACAGGATGAGTATGTGGTGAACAATAAACTACCGCTCACAGGATGAGTATGTGGTGAACAATAAACTACCGCTCACGGGATGAGTATGTGGTGAACAATAAACTACCGCTCACGGGATGAGTATGTGGTGAACAATAAACTACCGCTCACAGGATGAGTATGTGGTGAACAATAAACTACCACTCAGGATGAGTATGTGGTGAACAATAAACTACCGCTCAGGATGAGTATGTGGTGAACAATAAACTACCGCTCACAGGATGAGTATGTGGTGAACAATAAACTACCGCTCACAGGATGAGTATGTGGTGAACAATAAACTACCGCTCACAGGATGAGTATGTGGTGAACAATAAACTACCGCTCACAGGATGAGTATGTGGTGAACAATAAACTACCATTCACAGGATGAGTATGTGGTGAACAATAAACTACCACTCACAGGATGAGTATGGGGTGCACAACAAACTTCCGCTCACAGGATGAGTATGGGGTGCACAACAAACTCCCGTTCACAGGATGAGTATGTGGTGAACAGTAAACTACCACTCACAGGATGAGTATTGGGTGCACAACAAACTACCGCTCACAGGATGAGTATTGGGTGCACAACAAACTACCGCTCACAGGATGAGTATTGGGTGCACAACAAACTACCGCTCACAGGATGAGTATGGGGTGCACAACAAACTACCGCTCACAGGATGAGTATGGGGTGCACAACAAACTACCGCTCACAGGATGAGTATGGGGTGCACAACAAACTACCGCTCACAGGATGAGTATGGGGTGCACAACAAACTACCGCTCACAGGATGAGTATGGGGTGCACAACAAACTACCGCTCACAGGATGAGTATGGGGTGCACAACAAACTACCGCTCACAGTATGAGTATGGGGTGCACAACAAACTACCGCTCACAGGATGAGTATGGGGTGCACAACAAACTACCGCTCACAGGAT